AAATAATATGGATCGAGACTGTCATCTTAGAAAAAATATTTTATTACCGGTTTTATCACAATCACAAAACAGATAATAAAAAAGTAAAAGTAAAAATTAAATTATTTCATTTTAAAAGAAAAATAAATTTTTCAAATGAATTTAAAATTGGTTCATAATTTCGACATACAATTATGCATCATTAAATAATTATAGAATAAGTGTAAATTATTATTGTTTTGCATGTACTCAGCCGAGAATGAATTGATTTGAGAATGTAAACGCGACAAGGGAGTGAAAGCAGATTTTAAATATCATTATCGTCATAATAGTAACACGGGATATTCTCGCTTTCAGCAGAAAAAAAAGGATTAAGTCCCGGGGTTTAAGCGATACAGCGGGGCCAAGTGGTAGCTTCGTCCTCGCGAAGCAGAGTGGAATGACCTCGATAGCACAAATTATCCCGGCAAACGTAGGTGGCCCGTGTATATCCGTGTCGAGTGCCCCGCGAAAATAGCAGAACCATGGACCCCGTCTCCGAGAGGTGGCGTGTATCCTGGTGGGGGATGTGATTATATATCGGGTGGGAGAAACCGAGAGAAGGGCGTATCAAGAGAAAGGGGGGTGAGAGATGGAGAGAAAGAGAAAGATAGATCTGCTGGCCTAGTTAGGGTGAGTGCCACCCTCGGCGGTCATCAACCTCGCGACCTCGACGCTCACGAATCTCCCTGTTGCCTCTATGGAAGAGGCATCTATGATGGGTTGCTAAAGAAGTATATGTTATTTGAGTGGACCGATCCGCAAAGCATTTGTATCGAATTTTGATTACTTGATAATATGTTATTCTTCTCCTCATGATTAGCTTTACACTACATACATACATATACACGTACAAAATTATTATATTACTTTAATTTTTAAGTTAACTTAAATAATACCAAACAATAAATTTTGCTACATTTTAAATAAATTTTTTCTATATTTTTTTTTTGAAATCTCATACAAGAAAGAACGAATTGTGTAGCATAATTACTTAAAACGAACATTTTCTAACGGACGAGAATATTTGCATTAAGCGTAGCAAGAAGAGTGGAATTAGCGAGTTTTCGAAGGGATGGGCACACAGAGAGAAGGGACGCATAAGTTGGGGTGGATATAATATCTGTAGCATAGAACGACAGGTTGGTAGAAATGCTATACTTAGTACCGAAGGGAGGGATGAACGATACCGGGACTGGTTGGTGGGTCAAAGTTCATTGGCCTCGAGGTCACCGGCCCTCCCTTCACCCCCACGACCTTTTCCTCACACCACCCAAGTTCCGAGGGTTGGAGCGCGTGAGTAATCGTTCAGTTTGAATTTCCGTAAAATACTTTAGATCGTAAATGGTTATTCGTTTCACTTCTCGCTAATCTAATCGAACAAAATAAATGAAGTATACAGCTCCGTTGGAAACGAAATAGTAAAAGATAGTGAAATGTTGTTTACACGTTTCGTCCAAATCAAAATTCGCGATAAAATTCGAGTCAAATAATTTGGCATGACATAATAGAGAGAACATGACGCATTAGAAAATGATTACTTTTTTTTTTTCTGTGCGAACCGAACGAAACATGGTTCACCAGAAAGAAAGTAAGAGTGGTCTAGCTAGGAAGTTAAGGCAGCGGCGAAGGTAGCTCGTCCAGATGCCAATGAAAGGGAAATACGCGTACGAGAAATAAAATGACTTTCTTTCTTTTTCTTTTCGCTTTACACTTTATCATATTTCACTTGTTTTGTTGTTATGCCTATTAACTTTATTGCATTCTCTATCAAGTGTGGCGTTATATCTTAAAAAATAAAAATCGAAAGAAACATAATTATCTTTGCTTAACTTTCAGAAATACTATCTACAATTAATTTCTCTTATTGAAAGAGAAACCAATCTCTCATATTATTTGTCTCATTTAACTTTTGAGATTTGCAAGATTGCTAGAAAGTTTCCTAATGGAATTATGTTATCTGTATCGAGGCTTTGACAAAAGCGTTGATATTTACTGCGACTAGCCCAACTGGGTCATTGGTTCCTTCAAAGTATCATGACTTTCCCACTCCATGCGTTAATATAGGACGAGCGCGCCTTATGAGCGTTCACGTTACATGGAATGACCAAGAAAAATTGTCATCTTTGCCATTGGTTCTCTTGGCGAACTCGAGCGAACACGCACTCACTCGATAAGGGTTCCGAGCTCGCGAGCGATAAGAGTGCCGACATGGTTTGAGGTTGTTCACCTCTCGCGACGGCAGCAGAGGGAGCGAGAGAAAGGCAAAATAAAGGAGGGAGCGAGAGATGACGAGAAAGAGAGAAAGAGAGCGAAGGAAAGAAAAAGATGCGTATGCATGTATGTGGGAAAGAGGATGAGGGAGATCGTACTCTTATCGCGCTTCTCGTCAGTTTGGCTTGTGGCGTAGGGACGTTGCGAGATTAGAACGACCCCGAGAGAGCAGCCCAGAGAGTCGACGAACCGGCCTCTGATTGGGCGATGTCGAGTCAACGCTCCGCTTAGAGGGTGTAGAGTAGGGAAAAGAGGGGAGGTAGAAGGTAGACTGGGAGAGGACACCGCGCATCAATCGAGGTCACTGGGGACCGGGAGGAGGCCAGGCCATTGCCCGCGCGTCTTGCTTTTGAGGTTAGCCAACAGTCGACACACAAGCGCAATTAGAAAATATCCAATCAAGGATGTGCGATTTTATTATGACATAAGCTTTCTTTCATCAAATTTTGCCGTCACTTTCTTTTTTTCCTCGTATCTGAACAAATTGACGTAATATTCTATTTTGCAAAAATTAAATGTTCTTTGACGGCTGTTTTTGCGCACTCTTCAATATATTTTTAATAATACAGATTTCGAATAAATGTTGAATAATGTCAATTTTTAACAACATGGATTCCGAAATATCTTTCATCCAAAAGCATTAAAACTTAGAAATTATTCGATAGAAAATTTAATAGTAAGATATGCATGCATTAAACATCAGAAAATACAAAATGCAAATATGACTACGTGAAAAATGAAAAAAAAATTTTAATTGATAGTATATAGTTTTCTAATGTATTTCATTTTTGAGATACATCGCTCGTAGCGTACGCAGCGGCCATATAATCAATGATCCGTATACGCGCTACATGCGGTAGGTCAGTGCACCGGAGATGATGATGATAATGCATCGAGCAGCGAGAGGATGACCACTCGCGACGCGCGAAGAAACGGTGAAAGCATTCTAGTAGCGAGAGTGATCACGGTCCAGCGACGCAGCGGTAGCTGGTACTTTCTCCATGTATAGCGAAGACAGTCGAGTCGAGGAGCGAGGAT